AGACACCCTTCCACGAAGTGAAGACACCCTTCCACGAAGTGAAGACATCCTTCCACGAAGTGAAGACACCCTTCCACGAAGTTTGAGACGCATCTCTTTCTTACAGACGCCACCCTCCACCCTCCGGCAGCTGAACGTCCGGGCTTTTTCGCCCAGGATCAAGGACCCCGAGGGTGAAGAAGCCGCCGAGTCCAGGGCGCCCAGCTCCGTCGCGGGTAAGTCGAGCGCGCCGTTGGGGGCAGGGCCGCCGAGTGCCGCGGTTTGAAGAGGACGAAGAGATCACGCAGCAGCGGTTGAGCGGTTGTGGCGGAAGTGGAGTTCACCTGAGTTCAACCCCTGTTCGTAGAGCAATTTTGAGTCTTCCAAAGGATCATGCCACTTCCACGTGCTCGAGAGAATGAGTAAGTGTTCGGCTGGTGCAGCCAGATTCTGTCACTTGGGACCCGGAGAGGATGTTTCCACCATCTCAACATTCAGGATAAGATCCACAAATTTTTCATGGGGAAACATCCTTAATGATTTCAGAACATGATAAGAAACAAGATCGCCTGAGGATCATAGAGTTTTTCATTGGATCATTACAATGGACCTAATCATAACACCATGTTCATAATAAATTACACTCTGACTCACTAACAGGGAAGTGGACAATGGTCCCTTGGAACAAGGTTTTTTCCACTTCCATGTTAGTGAGTCCGAGTGTAAGGATAACATCATAGGAAATGACTCGGGTGATCTTGGGTGATCGTTTGTTGGAACTTCGATCGATGAAGTGTGAAAAGCATGGAATTGGACGCGCAGCCATGAGCAAAAGAGGAGTCTTTGCACATTCAAAGCTTTCGATGCGCAGGGCCAAATCGAAAGATTGGATGAAAGAAACACAGCTTCTCTAAACCCTGGAGGTCCAGTGATGACTCCATTGTACCCCCCTTAACACGAAAAATCGTGACCACCAAACAGTGGTGTTTGATCTTCGAATGTCTTCCAAGACGCTAAAAATGTCCGATGAGGCGCCCAGGCCTCGCCCACGGCGCCCAGGGCGACCCTGTTGGAGATTTGCACCCTGAAAGACACCTCGACGTCCACGGCCAGTGCTCGGGGCCCTGGCGCGCTCTTGCCACGGGCGCTGGAGCCGCGGGGGTGGGCTCCAGCGTGTTCGGCTCTTCGAAAAAGAACTCCGTTGGGTCTAAGCCCTTCCTGGCCCACCGTTCTTTGAATAGCCGAGTCATCGCAGTCCCGGTTTTGCTAAGGATTTTACAACGCCAGGTCGTTCCCATTCTTTTAAAGGGTCTTTGGAAGGTGGGAGACCTCCCAGGCAAGATCCCCTGAAAGACATTGGAAACAGACCAGTCTACTCGTTGGGATCGTTGGGGGACCTCCCTCTTTTCCAATGCACGCATGTGGCAAAGCTCTGATTGTCATGTCTGAACAGTTGGTTTCTTTTCCAACCTCTGACGGTCAAATGACCAGTGCACTCTCTGTTCCCAGAAGCTGCAGGATGGTCATCGCGGTTTTTCGGGAACGGAGCTCCCTACGGCCTGGCACGTTCGCTGATGGCCCACGAGAACCTCGGTCCGTCGCCTGGTCACGAGGTCTACCAAGAACGTGCCGCCTACTGCAAGAGCAAAAGCGACAAGTTGGGCCAGGCACGGACACCGTCCGCGGGTGGTCCGCCTCAGCTCGTAAGATGCTGGTGGCAACCACCCAGCAAGTCACCTTCTTTTGGGGTCGCGAAAAGAGGGTCTCACCGGGGTTGTGTAAATTTCTTCATCTTTTTCCCCTTGTTCGTGAACAAACACTTCAGCAGCCAATTTAGCTGGATTTGGAATCCATGGCATATTTCATATTCGCAATCCAGCAGTTCCAAAGGGGTGCTATCCATGGAGGTTACAGGTGCCCGAACGTCACATCCACGGCCCCGGAAGATGGGACGAGACACTAGCATTTCTTTGGTTTGCGCAGGTGTGGAACAGGTGTGGAAGCTGGCGCGGGCCCCTTTTTTCGGGCACAGCACATCACCCGCGACTCGCCGCAGGGCCAAGCCCTGCAGAAGATGGCCGAGCAGCTGTTGGAGTCTGCTTCGAAAGAGGTGGGTGAAGCAGATGTGAGAGGGGAGGTGGGGGTCATGGCCTGACCCTGATTGCGGGCCTGAAAGCTCTACTGCCCCCCGCGGGTCTATGGTACCTGCCCCCCCAACCTCTCAATCGCCCCGAGTTCGGACATTTGAAGGAATGGTACTTTCGGCTGGAAGGGGTGGTACCACCTGGTGAAGTCAGTTTCGTTTGGGTAGGAGGCAGTCGTTGCTTTTCGCCTGATGACATGAGTTTCAATGTCTCTAAGGCTCCAAGTATCTCCTCAAAAGATCTTTGGACCCTCCTGGCACCCGGGCCCCCAGTCCCACCAAACCTCAGAGGGTACTTACCTGGAGCCTGAGAAGGGCTAGGGAGTATATATACTTAGGACCGCACATGTGGGGATCGAGTGAAGTCCTACACCACACCAGCGAAGCTCCATTTGATGAACTCATGTCCTCTCCCCGAACTCCTCGATACCCAAGCATTTCGTCCTCCGAAGCAAGTTAGGAGGAAAGGAAAACAGCCCAATGGACTGCCCTGTTGTGACAACCCCCCACAAGGAAGCCCGCAAAAACTCTGGATCACCTGCCTCTACTCCGAATCCTTCCAGGAATTCTCAACTGGGCGGAGGAAGTCATCCTTTTTATCTTTTTTCATCCTTTTCAACTGGTCGGCTCCAACGCTGCACGACCGGTGCAACCTCAGGATCCCCTCCTCCGCAACGCCGCGGGTTCGGTGCCATCGGCTCTGACCTCCGCAACCGGTGCCTATGCGACTGACGGGCCAGGCGCTGGAGTCCTCCAAGGAGGCCTTGGAGCTCCTACAGCAGGCGACGCGTGCACCGCGCACCGAACGACCGCGAACGAACGATGGCCGGTCCGCCATGGGCGGGGGGGGTTCCATTGGAAGTGAGGGGTGTCATGCTCGGTCAAGCAGTAATGATATAGGTTAACCACCAAGGCAACATGCTTGGCATCTCACAAGGTGTATCACTGGGTGCCTCACCAACACGGAGTTCTGCAGAGTGACGCATCTCATGGGTACGGTGGGTACGGTACGGGAGGTCGGCCTCCAACCGAAGCATCAGCATCCTCCGGAGGTCGGGCGGTAGGATATCATACCCCAAGGTACCAGGACCTGACCTAAGTGACCGAACAGATCCCAGTATGAGGTCACTTAGTCCATTTTTAGAGTTCACTTACAGATTCCAAAGAGGTCACGAAGGGCTCAGGTCCTGGTACGTGGCCAGATGACACTCCCAGCACCGGCCGCCCCCGTCGTCTCGGATCCAACGTGGGATTTCACATCAAGCAGGTGGTGGGGCAAACCACCACGTGGCCGTGACGCACCACCGCGGGTGTGGCGCCGTACCTTGAAAGAACACCAAATTCACACCTCCAACAAGGTGGTCAACAGGATTTTGGGGGGGGCGCGACCATCCTGCGCATCCTTTCGTTTTTCTACTTTCTTTTTTCTGAATCCGTCAGACCCTTTTCAAAGAATAGAGTCTTTCCTGGAACTCCCAGAACATATACCAGGCCCCCCCCCCAGAGGTGTCCAATTATAGCTCTTTAGAGGCTAATTCAGGATGTCCATGTCTACCACCCCAAACACCGGGGGGGCCCTGGTATAGATCCCCTTGGCTTTCGCCCTGGATGCTTCACCACCTCCATCCTCGTCATCCGTCCCACGTCGACCGTTTCGCCGTTTCGTGCGAAACGTCGTGCCACGTCGACCGGTCAAGGCCGGGGATCAGAAGGGCACCCTCTCCGCACTGCACACGGCGCGCCGCACGACGCGCCGCACGAGCGTCGTCTCGAGGACGAGGAGGGGAGCGTCCCGGGTGGGACGTGAAGCAGATGGAGAGACGGGGGGGGGTTTTCCTCAAGAAAAATACTGTTGGGTCTGATCTAGCCAACAAAGAAGCGGGTTGAGCATGAAACACGAAGCTTAGGAGATTGCATTCCTTTTTTCTCTCATGAGATGAGAACATATTTGTGACTTCATCTAGGTAGCACTTTCTTCTTCTCAGAGTCGGCCAATACTCAAAAGCGCAGCAAAACCTCATCGTAACAAAACAACTGGTGAGGAGAACGCCGCCGCCGGAAAAAAAAGAGACCAGAGATCAATCGATGTGACGGAGCTGAGCAAACCAGGACCATCTGGGTGCCGTGTCTGGAGACCTATAAGATCTGGGTGTCCTGGCTGGACTATGCCCAGGACACCCAGATAGGATGGTCCTGGTATAAGTAGTGTAGGCAAGACACTTCAGGCATTTGGAGACCCATAAAACAAACCTATTAGGTCTTGTGTCTGGATACCTGGGACAGGTACCACCACCACCACCACCACCACCACCACCACCTGCACCTGCACGTGAAACTGGTGGTTTTCAGGCTGATCCGAGTCGAACGACGTTGGCGATGATTCCAGGGGCCCAGACGTATCTCGTTTTCAGAAGCCTCGGCTCCGCTCGGCTGGTCCTCCCAGTTCCGTTCCGCGCCTTTTCGGTTCCAGAGCGGCTTCCCGTTCACCACGGGCCGTTTCGCGGACTTGGTCAGAACTCTTAGCCTAGGCTTCCAACAACCACCATGAATTTAATAGGCGGGTCATCCCGACTCAACTAAGGATTTTCCACTACAAAAACCAGGTCAACCATTGTTTTAATGGTCTTGGAAGTCTAGTACCAAATAAAGAAGGACATGATACACGACTCTGCCGTTTTCAATTCTACAGATTTTCTCCTTCGCCGCTTTGCTGTTGACCGATCCTTCTTGATCCCATCGCCCGTAACCCGAAACTGTTTGGTGCGATGTGCCGCGAGCTTTTCTGCTCGAGATCGCGACAAGGCTGCCCTGGCGACGGGCGACAAGTCCAAAGTCGAGGAGGTGGGAAGCCCACCATTTTGAACCATCATCTTTAATACAAGGTAGAGGATGAAGGTGACAGTTGAACAGAACGACCTAATTATATAATATATACATATATCATAAAATAGATATCAATCAACCTACACCATTTTAAACCTTCATTTTGATGCACATCAAGGTCCAGATATCAAAGTGGATCATCTTTACCCTTTCGTCCAAAAGAGGACCTTCTGGGAGTCACCCGACTCTACAGAGACTGCTTTGAGGGACCTGATCCAGACGGGAACTTTCACGAAGAGTATCTTTGGTCTTTGGACTTCTTGGAAAGTGCTAAGCATGCAGCGCTTTCAAGCTAGCATTTTGAGCATCACAGAAACACCTCAGTTTCAGCGAGCACTCTTATTACTTTCAAACAAACATCACAAAGACAACAAGACAAGAAGACAAAAACTGAACTCCAAGAATTATCACCTTCACACATGATTCATAATCCTTTGCGCAAGAGAACAAATCAGCAAGTGAGTTCAAGGAGGCTCCGGAACGAATCCTGCTCTGTGAACTCATCCTGAAAGGCTTTGAAGATTAGCCGCTCCTTGGGAGATGAGAGCAGCCAGGCCAGGCCATGGATGGGTTGACGGACCTGCTTTCACTATAGAAATTCGATGGGCTTTAGGAGGAAGAAGAGAAAGCTGAAAAAAGAACACGTAGCTTCGGATGTGACGCGGAACCCGGAACAGATGTTGGAGATCTGGAGATTGAGAGCCTACCTACGCCTTCAAGTTCGGACCCTGTGTCTTCATCAGATCGCTACACTGTCCAAGTGGAAGGCCGACCGGCTCCAAGACCGGTCCTTGGGCTCTCGACGGGTCGAGAAACCGGGAAACCACCGCTTCGCGACGCGCGAACCGCGCGAGTCGCGCGGTTCACGCGGAGCGGTGTCTGGAGAGGAAGCCGGGGTTTTCGCTTCGACCTGGAGGCCTTGCCTCAGAGACCTCTTAAACCAACCATTTCTGGGACAAAGGACCTCTCACGGGCCACGGAGCATGGCCTCCCTGAGACTTGCCACCTTCTTCGGCCCATCCACGACGCCGCTGCGGACCGTGACCCTTCGAAGGTGGAGCTGCTGACGACCCTGAGCGCCTTGCACCTACGGGGGCATCAGAAGGAGTTGGCCAAGACCAGGGCAGCCGAGGCCCGAAGTTTTCAGGGTGTTCTTTTCACCAAACCGTTCTACTAAGCTGTTTGAGGTCTATGCCGGTATATACTTTTCCTTTGAAAAAGTGGGGGTCGGGAATCAATTTCACTCCTCAGAAACAGCCTAGAATTTATTTTCATGAGACCGGTGTTATTTTGTTTTCGCCACGGGCTGCGGTGCAGAAACACGAAGAGGGGCTGGAGAGAAAGATGCAGACAAGAGAAACCAATTGCTGGAGATGCTCATTCCAATCCAGCTTCTATTTCACAATGAGATAAGCCCTAGGCTTCCAAGACCATTTAAAAGATGGTTGACCTGGTTTTTGCAGTGTAAAATCCTTAGTTGATTCGGTAAAGCTTATTGAATTAATGGTTGTTGGAAGCCTAGGGAAGAGCATACTCGGTGTACTCGACTCACCAGTGTGAGTACACCCCTTCTCCAGTCCTCTGGGCCTTGGCTTCTTTCTTTTAGACCCTTTTGTTGGTCTTCATCTTCGGTCGCTGAAGTGGCAGGCCCAGACGTTGGCGAAGAAGTTGCAAGACGAGCCGCTGAAGCCTTCGAAGAGGGGAGAGAGGATGAGGTGGAGAGAGGACAAGGCATCGGAACTTCCGTTTGGACTCCTGATTGAAACCTCCACCTGTACACCCTGGGAGTCAAGGACTAGTGACTAGGAGTATGGCCTGACTGAGTAGCTAGTAGGGGACCTGATTTCGGGATTTTCCTTCGGTGCACAAAGGACAGGTACAGTTCAACTGGACTATTCAATGAAGTCATAATTTCCAAAGGTACAGGTTTATGTGTACAGTCAATTTAGGTCCAATTCAATATAAGGTACAGTTGAACTGGTACAGGTTTATGTGTAGGAAGTCAGATAAATTCACCACCAGGCTGGGAGAGTTGATGAGTGACGGGATTTTGAGAGAAGAGGACGAGGTCTCTGTGAGGTCAAGACATGGGGCCTGGTGAATTCTGGACACACTTGCAAGATGATGTTGGATTCTCCGCTCCGACTTCTTGGTGGAAACCGTCGAGACTCTCCATGGAATGTCGAAACAGGTCTCGTGTTTCACTCGGGGTGGCCTGAAGCCAAGGAGGTCTTCTTTCAGCAACCAGATCCCATTTTTGTTTGACCAACACACAGCGCTCAAATCACCCATCGACCTTACCAGGCCCCACCAGGGCGAGTGGCGCTCGGGTTTGGACTCTAAGGCCGGCGGCCGGGCGTGCAGCCCATGCGGTGGCCAGTGCGATGTTGGCGTCGGGTGAGACGACCGAGGCCGACCACGGTGGCCCCGACACGTTGCAGGACACGAAAGGACGAAAAAAAGGGCCCCGTAGCGGGGGCTCGGTCGCGGAAAGACCACAAAGTGTAAAAGACCACGAAGTGTAAAAGGACTCGATATTTTTGATTTTAGCCCGGTAGTGGCAGTGGTGTGCTTTTGACTATCCGGATAGGGGTTGTTTTCAGTCAGTGGAAGTTCTACGTAGGACCACGAACCTGTGATGCATCAGAACGCCAACAGGGAACGCAAAAGGATAATTACGCATCAGAACCACAGTGTGCCATAGAGCTAGGGTGTGGCCCATTACCAGCAACAGTTGGTAAAAGATTCACGATTTGTGAGATGTCGGCCAAACAAACCCTCATCCTCCACTGGGCCCTGGTAATTCGATATACCCAACATATAGAGCGAAATGAAGACGTCCGATCCCTTCAAAGGGAACACCTTTCTTTGCTTGAAATCATTTCCCTAGGCTTCCAACAACCATTAATTTAATAGGCTTTACCCAATCAACTAAGGATTTTACACTACAAAAACCAGGTCAACCATTGTTTTAATGGTCGAACGGAAGTCTAGGGATTTGTTGTCACTTCCTGTTGGATGGACCCATGAGGTTTCGCTTCGACTCACCGCTTCGCCCCGAGAGCGACATGGTCAGGTCCGGCCGAACGGTGCCAGGGAGCCCACCCACTTGTTCTCTCGTAGCCCGGGTTTTGGGCGTCCAATCACATTGAAGATCATCCTCAAACATCACCTGGGTGTCAATGAAGCACTGGGCGCCCTCTCCGGTGTCTTGCGTCTGGTTTTTTTCTCTGGGCTCGGCGGGAAGTTTGGAAGCATGTACGGAGGTGAAAAAAGACAGCAGTGTTTTTGTAGGATCAACTCCAATAAAATGAGGTCAACCTAACCTGTAGGGTTCAGTTGCCCATGACTACTTCATCGGAGACTTAGGTAATTTTTCAAGTTTTGCTAAGGCTGTTAAGATTCGTCCCTTTGTTCCACCGGAACATCACACGACTGACGAGAAGACATGCAGACTTTTTCCACCGATTTCACTCCATAACAGGAAGACCTAAAAGAGTATCAATCCTGCCGAAGAAGCATGAGAACCCTTCTACGGCCAGATCTATTGGCCAGATCTACGCTTTCTGTGAACTCATGTGAGCTCGGCGTCTTCAATCCAGCTGGGTGCTCCAACAGGTACGCACACCGACCACGGAACTCGGAATGAAAAACCGTCCAACCCAACAGGTGCGCGTCCTCCGGTCGCCTCTGGTTCGTTTGTGGTATTGATGGTGCCCGGTTCAGGCCTTGGCTTTGGCCAAGGATGCTGCGAAGCTCTTGAGTCGGGGCCCGAACACGAGCAGCGCGACGTGAGGTCCGAGTCAGACCCGTCCGTTCGTCTCCTTCGCTCGCGTCTCCTGCGGGTGAGCTCGGTGCGCTGTGCTGAGTAATTCCTAGAGAGTGAGCAGCATATCGACGCCTTTTTTCCCCACTGAACCCAGAGATGAATGCTACAGTAGAGTCCATTTCAAAAGTGAGAGTTCTATTTATGTGGTTTTCTGCCAGAAGCTTTGGGGTGCGAGTAGAATTGTGAGGGTACTAGACCAGGTGACTTCGAAATCGCCATTTAGGTTACCTGGCTGCTTAAAAACAACAGGTCACCTGGCTGGACAAGAATAGGTCTCCTCCAGACAGGGCACCCAGACAGGAAGTGCGAACGGTATCATTCGAGGTTCTTTGGGATCTTCTGAAAGTGACTCGATCGGATCGAGGCTTAAGGCATGGGAACGGTGGACACCACATAGACACCACGACGGCAGCTTCTTTTCACTCCAAGCATGCCAGAGCATACTTGCTAGAGAGAGAGAGAGCACACAGATAGTGAATGGCTGGCGAGCATCCGACTTGTGGATGCACTCGACCTGTGGACCTACGGGTGCGACAACGTGGACCTAACGGTCGAAGGACGGCACGTCTTTCTGGGAACCGGTCGAAGTGGATGCACTCGACCGGACCTGTTTGGTCTTCGGAACATGGTCATCATCCCTTTCGGAGCCAGGCCAATTCGGAGCCATGCCGTGCCTCGCGGCAGAACAGACATAAAGAAAGAGACATCGCCGTGTTTTTTTACAATCAGAACGAGGAAGGCCGATCTTCAGCCATCTGGATCTTCGGCCATGTTTTCCCTTCTCATGGGCCGAACTTTGTTTCTTTCCCACCTTGATACACCAAAACCCTATAGAAGTCCAGTTCGACCCTTGTTTGGCACCAAACAAACACACCCCCCACAACACTCCCAGGACCCGCTGTTCGGGGTGTCTATTGATAGCCCCTTAGAGGTGATTCCGGGTGTCCGTGCCCTCCCGCTTCCAGCTGGCGCTGCGCGGGCGCTGGCCCTCTGCACCGCAGCCGGTGCGGTGTGGAGCCCCGGCACGACCGGTCCATTGTGGGACGAAACGGCTCGAGACAGTGAGGGCTTCACCAGAAATTGGTTTGCGATGTGTGTGAAGCTCCAGTTGTGCTTTTGAAGCGCCAGCGGTGTTCTTTTTTGACAGATCCACGTGCGACTTCGGCGGCCAGACTTCCAACCTCCTCCGGACCTCCTCCGGACCTCCTCGGACCTCCGTCGCCCATGTTTTTGGGGACGTTGCGCGGTGCGCGGGACCGCTTGGTGCTCGGCGAGGCCGCCTCGAAGGAAGCGTGTGAGCTGCTCCGACAGGCCGAGGAAGTCGACTCAAGCGAGGACCAGACTCACCCCCCGGTCTCTGAAGAGGATGTCCAATTCAAATGGCAAGGGTTTACTAATCCGGAGTCCACATTAGAGGTTCCAAAAGAGGTCAAGTGACCTGAATAACCTATGGAATAGTCTATGGTCTGTGGGATGGTCCACCGGATGGGTCAAAACCATGAGACGCAAACGACCGGTGCCACGGGTAGGTCCTACCCGGTCGGTCTGCCAGTTCCCCACCCACCCAGAACTGCTTGGGGGAAATGACCAGAACAATAAGAACATATAAGAACATACCCCACTGAAAACGAACACAAGTAGACCCTGAAAACCACTGATGAAAACGAAAAGACATGAATCGTTTTCAGGAGTGTAGCTCCAGAAGAATCAGCCCCCCAAAATAGACTTTCTCTCAAAACCGTAGGTCATGTCCGGGGTCTGAAGACATTGATGCTCGATTTTTTGTGATTTGGGATGATTTGGGTGTGTATTGAAATAGGGAGGTCACCAACACCCCCTCTACAGTTCAATAGGTCGCGGTCTATTCCCCTTTGCCCTGGTCGGGAGACCCCTATTGCAATTATTACACACACCCTTCGTCGAAGGTCCTTCCGCCTCGGTCCCCCCCCATCGAATCCTCCGTTGAGATGGTGAAGTCTGGGCGCCCAGGGCGCCCAGTCCTCTGAAGAGGGTTGCAAAAGGAACCAAGAAAAAGCCGCATCTTCGAAAGCACATCTTTTCCAGTCAATCCATTCGATGGAAGCACCTCTGGCACCGTTGGCCGCGTAGAGGCGGTGCCTCTCTTCAGCGCCGCAAAGGATGCAGGTGGCGAGGCGCTGCGGGTGGTGGCTGGGGATGTCATGGGAGGCGTAGCGCCGCGAATGCTCAACAGCGAGGAAGGAGCTAGCTAAGGAGCTAAGGGTCTTTGACTAGAGGGACCTCGAACCTCTTTCTGAAGCAACCAGCGAAAAGCACCCAACATATCGATTGTGTCCAATCCTCCTGTGAAATCCAAGGCTGGGGGCGCAGACTGATTTTTAACGGTCGTCCTTTTCCTCACCATCATGGGTGGGCTTTGGTTTTTTGGAGCATTCCTAGGCGTATCCCCAAGGATGCCGAGATTCCTTTGTCCTTTAACCTTCCGTCCAAGTCCATATGTCACCCATGTCACTCATGTCCTTGTGATTCTTCAATGGATTAGTCAAAGCAACAAATTCATAGGAAACCATGGTTTTCTCACTCTCGCAACACTATGGGTTTCCTGCAGAAGTTCTCTGAAACCTTCTGGGACTCGTGCTCCACTCTGGAGAGTGATTTCCCACTCACGACCACCAGACCACCAGCGCTTCAGGCCACTGCGAAGCTGCAACTTGCCACGGCTTTGTTGGCCTACGAAGGTGGGCCTCACAGGTTTTGGCGTTTCCGGACACTCAGATGGCTGTGGGTGGCACCCTGGCACCTACCGGTTGACCGCGGATCAAATGAACTGATTGCTCTTGTCTTCGGGATGTCAACCAGGATGACAGGGGCTCCAGGTGTTGACCCACAGCCACATGAGTGAGGAGTTGTGGTCCACAATGAGTATGGTTCGAGTCTGCCCTCTTACCTGTAACAGTTGGTGAACAATTATCACTATTTATCACTATTCTATTTTAGAAAGGCCTTTACTAAGCATCATCATCCACTGTTACTGGTAAACGATGATGAGTACCTGAACCATCCTGTCAGGGTCTCCAATGGACTGCCCTACCATACACACCTGGGCGAAACCGGACACCCCTTGGACCTATTGGATGGTCCTGGCATGTTTTCCAACAAATCCTGACACATGAGATGGCAATGGTGTTTTTTGCACCGTTGCACAAATCCTAACTGATTCACGGCCAGTCTCATACTTGTAGGGAGATTGCCGAAGGCACTCCGGAAGAATTCCTGCCTTACCATCGCCACTTCCACGGGCGTCGCGCATGCATGTGGATTTGTTCGTCGCAGAAACATCAAACAGGGATAGATGTGGAAGTCCAAAACTCTTGGGAACTGTGTTGTGGAAGATGGATGAGTTTGATCAGAGCTGCTTTCAGGCTTGCTTCCCTACATTTAGGGGCCGGAGGATTTTACTTTTTACGAAAGCCAGTGATAGGGTAGGCTGAAGCTTTTGAGGCGATTGAAGTGAGAAATTAAGGGGTGTTTTTTGATCAGCCTACTCATGTTAATTTTTTGTGTGGGATACGTAATTGTTGGTGAGCTCGTGATGCAAATGATGCAATATGAACATTTTTGCATCATAAGTCTGTTTGGGCGCCTTGTTTAGAAACGATGCAAAAATAAGATGGATTGCGCAAGTAGATGGATTGCGCAAGTTCCTTTTGAACTCGAAGTCGGACTTCGAAGTTTCCAGTGGCGTGCGGGTCCAACGTTCGCTTCCATATCGGTTTTCGTTTACCTCCTTCTACCAATTCTCCCAGTTTTGGCACGAATCCATTTTTCTTTGGCTTTGCTTTGGGTGATGGTTTAAGTAAACCGGTTCCTGCGTTCAAACTGGGGAAGATTTGCTCGTTTTTACCAATTCATGGACAGCAACTCAGTTGAAAAGGCTTCCCCCATGGTGCCTCATGAGCCTGCCAAATTTTGCTGCTCGCTAGCGCCCCGTACCTTCATACATATGGGCAACATATGGGTCATATACCAGGAGTCACAAAGGGGTGGTGTTTAGTCCCCAAGTGAGTGGATAATGGGCACCCCGAACCTCCATTAAGCACCCCTTTGTGACTGCTGGTAGGTTTATGTTCAAAAGGTGAGTCTCATGGAGAAGTGTTGTCTCTTTCAGCATCCCATGTTGGTGAATCCATCGGTGATGACAACAGTTCACTTCACTTCAAAACTCTTCCAAACGACCAAACCCGTCGCATCGCTTTTTTATACATGTTTTTGGTAAAGTAACTCACCCTAGGGCTCCAAATACCTTCTCAGAAGGGTATTTGGACCCTTTAAACCCACTCCAAACACCTTGGAGCCCTAGGGTCACGTAACTCACTCCGCCGTTCACTCCGCCATTCCGCCGGGCACTCCGCCGAGGTCCTTTGGTCGAGGTCTTTCAGAGCCGATCAGAAGCTGCTGGCCTGGCCGAGCAGGCGAGAGTCGCGGTTGGAGCGGTTGGGCTTGTTGGTGGTGACTGGCAATTCAATAAGTACCATAAAACCTACAATAAACCTACGATTTTCAATATGCTTTGAGTTATTAACACACATAGCATTTATTGTAAAGGATCGTGGTTGGCAGGAAGTGTGGGGCATGAAGATTTGTTTGTTCGGAAAGACATGGATGAGCTAAGTCTTCGCGTTTTTCGCCAGATCTGACGACGGCCTGTGGGATGGTCAAAAGACTCTGCCCAGCTGCAGTTTCGTCATTGCTCTCTCAATTCTTGCTGCTCTGCGTTGCCAAGGATTTCCTTTTTTGCATTGGGAGAACTTTTCCTCCAGGAGTCACACTCACTCTCACCTCACTCACACTCACTCACTCACTCTCCCACTCTCACTCACGCTCACACTCTCACACTCTCACTCACAAAGGGGTGGTGTTCGGTCCCATCCAGTGAGTGGAGTAGCTGGGCACCCCTGACCTCCATGGATCGCACCCCTTTTTTCACTGCTGGCTGTTACACTTCCTGGAGAGCATCGGGAGCACCTCATCCTGACCAGAGCTCTCACGCTTTCTCTTTGCCCGGCTCGCCTTTGGACCATCCCTCGACTCCCGCGGTGCATAGGCGCTACTCGTCGTGCGCCGCGCCGCACGTCCCGGGAGTGCCGTTCTTCAGTTCTCTCACTTGCTCGGCCAGAGCGACAATTTTCATGGCATGACACAGCATGATGGGCCCCATTTGGCATGCCACAGGTTTTGTTGGTGGTCCATGTTGCTGTACTTGGTTCTGGTCCTACGTTGCAGCATCTACAACAGGTTCTGGTCCTCGGTCCGAAAACGGGTTCAGCCGTGGCGTCGACCTGCCCAGAGACTCGGGGTGATGCCGAGCTCCGGACCCGAGCCCTGCTGAGCCGGACCGAGGCCCGTTGTGCTTTCTTGGTGCTGGGTGACCAGAGGACGCGGAGCTGACCGCTTGACGGGGCCAGGTCACGCGGTCATGGAATCACGCGGTCACGGGGCCCGTGGATGCAGTCAGAGGAGTGGAAGGTTAAGGGTGAAAAGTGGTTGAGTTACTCCAGTTCGTAAGAGAACGCTCGCAAAAGCCGTGCTTTTTTTGAGAAACAAGCAAGTGCTAGTTCACCTGTTAACTTTTCATTTGCGGAATTTGCCACCTGCCAAGTGCTGTAGATAGCTCAGACATCAATGTTTTACACCCGAAGACTGTGTTTGTTTCCCCATCAAAGGAAAGCAAAGCAAGGCATACAACCAGAAAAGATAACAATTACTTTACTTCGAGTGATCCCACCATGACATTTCAATCATTTGTCTTCGTGTGCTGTGGTTGTGTGTTGTGGTTGTGTGCTGTGGTTGTGTGTTGTGGTTGTGCGTTGTGGTTGTGCGCTGTGGATGTGTCTTTGTGCTTGTGTGTTTGTAGTTGTGTTTGGTCCGGCAGCGCCCAGTGCGCTCGGGAGCTGGCGGTTGAGGTGTCTGGCATGGAACACCGAATCCTTCCGAAACCCCTTCAAGGACCGTTCTGGGTGGTGCTTCCAAGCGACCGGGTCTCCGCCAGGAGCCAGGGTCGCGCGTCCAACGTGGCGGCACAGAGCCGCTGGGACGGGAACTGGTTCAACCCCAAACGGGTGGTATTCTGCGAGGCGTCAAGTGGTGTGGCAAGTCCCAGAATTGGTGGAATGTTCAAGATTCTCGAGCCCCATGTTGTTTTCTTGTTTTTTAGGGGTTCAACTTACGGCTTTCGGTGATCCTTAAAGACACATCCATGTTTATGCAATCTCGTGTCATCCAGCTAGTCGTGTACCGTGTGGGGCGAAGCCAGAGGAGAGGAGTTGACCACCCTTTCCGTGCTTTGAACAGATTGTTTTGTAGTTTTGCGCAAATGGGTTCGTGATTCACACACGTCCTCGAACGGGTGAGAACCTTTTTTAGATATTCGCCGGCTCACTGCGAGACCATTCGGCATTACATGGGATGACGAATGGGTGTGCATGGTGTAGACCTTCAAACGAGAGGATTCATGGGTGATGTGCAGGAGCTTTGAATCACTGCCTGGAATCAGATGAACTGAATGGTGATGTGTAGACCCCTTTTTCATTTGTCTTGCAGATCATTGTCAAGACAAACGGAAGGTGCGCCTGTTGATGTGCAGCTCACGCGTAGGTGCTGCCTCTCCCACCACTTTCAGCACCAGTCATCACCGAGAATTCCATTGCTTCACCTTTCCATGGAGCTCAGCTCAGGGACTCAGTGACTCAGGGACCCACACCCTAGGCTTTACCGAATCAACTAAGGATTTTACACTACAAAAACCAGGTCCTTCCCATTTTTTTAAATGGTCGAACGGAAGCCTAGGGTCCACATCCTTCCAAGAAACCAGCTCCTACCACCGTCTCGTTCTCGGGTCGGGTCGGATCCTTCATTCTCGGTCCCGGTCTGGCTCCGGTGGCGAAGGTCAGCAATTGCACCGGGACCGAGGTAAGATCCTCTTGAACGACCTCGATGGTGGCATCGAGGCTGCGATGCAGGTGGAGACCGAACGAGTCTTCGAGTCGTGGGCGGACGGCGGAGTTGTCTGCGGGAGGCCGCGCCGGTTTGCGGGGCTTCGCTTGGAAGGGAGAAATGAAGGCTGAAGGGCTGAAGACTCGGAACGCTGACACCACACGCCTTTGCTGACTCGTTCTGAGTTGAATACAGAAGGGTGGCTCGAGGGTCCTGGTTCAGTTACGTCTGGCTCGGCGGTGACGAACACCGGAAACCGCCACCCTCAGTCTCTACGAGTCAGTTTGAGATGACTCCGATGTGTATAGATGGTTTTTATTTCCATGGACTTTAGTGCGACACCAGCCGGTTGAACATGTTTAAAAAGAACAAGGGTTGCACATAGAGCACAAAAATATCCACACTGGTTGCATTGGCCGAACACGTTTTGACGCTCAGAAGGACGTCCGTTTTGAAGCTCTTCAGAAGCTTCACGATGTTCACCCTGCACTCGCCTCTATGGCACCTGACCAAGCTCGCTCCACGCGACCCGAGCTGCGCTGCGCTGCGCTGCCACCCTGCTCGACCCGAACGACGCTGCTCCCGTCTCCCCGTCTGCAGGGGGTGGTCCTGGCCCGTTCCTGTGGCGACAAGGAGCTGGAAGCCTACGCCCTGCCCCTCGTCCGCGCCGACGACCGGGTTCGGCGGGTTCCGGCTCCGGTCTGCGGAACGGGCGAGGCGAACGAGTTCCGGGTGAGCCCTGGTGACCGGAATGAGGAGAGGATGGGGATGGGGGTCATTTGTGGCTTGGAGTTTGTCCCAGCCAAGCCTCAAAGAGGGAATCCATGGTCCATGACATTCTGTTTGTAGGATATTATGATTCCAAGCAAACGTTATATCTAGATATATCCAGATAATGCGATTCCGCGCCACATGCGCTTACTGTAAGGCCATGTTATATCCTCGCGCAAAAAAGACACCGGATCATTGCATTTTCGCATATCCGACTCGTCCGACAGCTTTCAATTCAGGACTTTTCCAGTGACCAAACTTGAGATCCCATTGGCTGAGGTCACTTATATAACTAGCTCTTGAGTCTTCACAAAAGGGGTACACCACTCCTGAAGAGGTCACTTACAAGCTCCCCCACCGCCAGGTTGGCCACGCGCAACGCGCGCGGTCCGCGCGCAACCCTTCGCCCTTCGCCCGTGGTTTGGGATTCGGAGTGGAGTCCCGAGGCGCACGGCGTTGGCCGGAATGGTGTCCAAGGGGTGCAGCGCCGAGGCGCGAGGAGGAGGAGGAGGTGACTGGCTTGGCTTCGTTCAACGCCGAAGCAAAGCACTCCGTGCTTTTGGGGAATCTGGGAATTGAATCCACCGACGTGATTTGTCCAGAGACCCAGAGATGGATCGAAAGAACCTCTTCAGTACTTGGGGGGGTGATATATTATATTGTATATATAATGTTGAATCTATTTTTTGCATCAAGACCCTATACACAAATTATATAGTCAGGTTGTGTCTTGACTTGTGACGACTTGTGCTGTGTGTTGGAAGCTAAGGAGCTAAGGGGACACCCCCCACACCCAGCACTATCCCCAATCACCTACTCCGACCCACGAAAAGTGGAAAAGCGGCCTCCAGGCACTGCGCTTGGCCAAGGAGGTGAAGATCCTCTTCCACAAGCTGGGGCGCGGTCGACCCAGTCCCTCTGCGTTTCCCGCACGACCGTGCGACCGCAGAAGTGCGACCGTGGAGACCTCTCCCACTTCCGGAAGCGGAAATAGATCAGGCTAGATCAGGCCAGGGCCAGGTCTCCCTATTCCAAGACACACTCACTTCTGAGCCAGCCACTTCCAGGACTTGACCGGTTCACTGGTTCACCAGGACTTCACCGGTTCGACTTGACCGGTTCATTGGACACCGGTGGAACCGCGGAGCTGAGGCAGAGGCCCCGGCCCCCGCCTTCACTTCGACCATTCAATCAGGTTGGTTGACCAAGAATGTGTGCGTCTAAATGTCTCAGCAAAGCCATTGGGTTTCTTCGGGATTCTAACCCCTTCGATTCAATCCACTGGGAACCGGGCGGAACGAACCAAGCGGGATCGAGGCCGGATCCGTCCCGTGTCCCGTCCCCGTCCCCTGCCGAGCGTGACTCCGAGCGGGCGGTGACAGTATGGAATGACCATGGAATGACCAAGGAAGATCCAATATCCAAGATTTGAATAAGAGGAGTCTTCCAAAGAATCACATCAGAGCAAAGAAGCTCATCAACGCCTTTGCCGAAGAGAAGCCTCCAAAAGAGACGGTCAGACTGCAGGGTGAAAGCCATCGAAGAGTCGCTGGATTCCTTGATCTTGCAGTTGGAGGAGGCTGGATCTTCTTCAGGATGCATGCCCCCAGATGACTGAAAAGGCTTGGAAGGCTGGGCAAGACAGACCAACTTTCAAGCCGAACTTTCCAAGACTTAGATGTGAAGACCACAAGACCACCCAGGAGTTCAGTGGATAATCTTTAACCTGGTTTCTCACGGTTTCTCTATATGATCCACGTGGAGAAAGGTTCACGAGATGCTTTTCATCTCACATTCTCAGCTCGTAAGATCTCCCACCCGCCAAACCTGGACCAAAACGAGGACGACCAGCTTTTTGGTGATGAAATCCAACCAAGCTTGTCGTCCTGCTACGGATGGAGCACGGGGCACGGACCCCAAACAAGAACCACACCGGCCCCACCGGCCTCGCTGCGTGGAGCACCCCGTGGTTTGCTGCACCAGGAGCTCCCAAAGATTTCGCCCATTCAACGGATGACCATCACGCGCGGCACCCGGTGCGACTGACGGGCCACGACACGAGAAAAACGGGCGGTTGAAGGGGTGGGGGTGGGAGGTTTTCGTCGAAAGAAAGAAGCTTTTTGAGGTGAAGCGGGCCATGTGGAGACATGTTGAGGAACGACGAAAAGCTCTATGAATCTTAAAAGCCGAAGAGAGTGTTGGTTTTTCTCTCCATTTTTGTTGGGGCTCCGAATGAAGGTTTCCAAGTTGCTGGACCATCCCCAAAGTCTATCTTCTATCTTTGCGCACCCTCTTCCACGATTTTTCTGGCGTTTTTCTTCCAACATGCTGTTTCTTTCGCGCGTCTTTCAATTCCAAAGGTTTTTGCTTCACACCAGAGCCCTTGCGGCGCACGCCCTTGACGGACCCCTTTATGCCCTCCCGGCACCGTGCGGTCGACCATGCGCCAACGAGGCCTAAGGATACGAAGATCAACCTCAGCAGCAACTCCTTGTTCACTCAAGCGACCAACTGCATTGCCACTAGGCCGCTTCTTCCATACGATTCTTGTTTTTTGCCGCGCTGAACAAGACAAGACGAAGCGGCGGCGGTTGTTGCTCTGAAACCAGGACCGTGTTTGTTTTTTGTAGCTTGTTTAGCAGTAGCCAGAGGAACATGTGGACTGGCTGGGTTGTTTGAGGGACTATTCTTTGTGCACTTTTGGCTACTTGATTCATAGAACCACCCCGGGTCATAGCCTTGAAATGCCATCAAGATCCTACATTAGTGGCACTTTTTCAACGTGACGTTGAGGACAGCCCAATCACGGCCATCGCACCTTCACTTTGGGGGGCCATCTAGACATATCTATAGACTCTTGATTGACAAAATCCACTCCGGGCCACAGCGTTGCCATCTCGATCCAATGGATGCCCGGTTTCTTCGACTTCGGGGCCAAAGTGCGGTTTGACTCTGCATGTGGCTGCGGTCAAAAGGATCGTCAACATGGAGCTCCAAAAACCGTAGTAGGTCCATGTCTGCACAGGGCCAGTTCTCATTGTTCGGTGGTCTCCCAGGGCCAGTTTTGGCTCGGAAGATCGTGGTTTCGCGGTCTTTTCGACGGCTCAAGTGGAATTCTTCAGTGCCCAGACGCTCCAAACAGCCCTTGGTCCCTCAAAATCATAGGGATTTGAGGGTCCGGACCCCTCCATATGAGGGTACGGCCCCTACTTAGCAGGGTCCATGAGCGGTGGGGGGATTTTGGAAGAACAAGCTCTATGGACCCAATGAGGCTTCAGTCACGAGGCGTGCCTGACACGGGCGAAAGACATTTTAACCTCTGGCCTCGAGTCCCGATGGGGCGTTAGACGAAGAGAACTTCGACCACATGGCATGGGTCATTGGGATGGGGTTTAAGGTATACTCCCTGGAATGAGGGTTACGTGGCTGCAGGGAGTGTTGAAGAGGTTTGCGAATACCTCTAGAACGTGGAGCATGATCGAAGTCAAAGGGGTCTTCCACACCATGCACAGCAGGTGTGGTGGTTTCGTCCATGGTTGGTCCAGTTGGACTTCCACGTCTCTTACCTGCTTGTTTTTCTTCTCAGGTTTGGTCGTTGCCGTTGACGCAGATGACCTATATGATGCCAGGGACACCCACTTTTTTTGCTCGGAGCGTTGCCGGGAGGGTGGTTGGCGGCGCGAGTTGTTGAGAGTGGTTTTCCTAGAAAGCCAGTTTCATGATGATGAAATCCAGAAGGAGCATTTAGATTCAGACTGGAGGGACGGGCTTGTTCATGTGTGTGTGTGTGTGAGAAGCTTATTCCAGGTAGCCAGGTTGATCTTAGCAACATGTGTAGATCTTCCAGGGTGTTTTACATTGTATTGGGGAGTGTAGTACCTTTTGTGATCTTAGCAACATGTGTAGATCTTCCAGGGTGTTTTACATTGTATTGGGGAGTGTAGTACCTTTTGTCCTGCAAGATGGGGAGTGTAGGCTTTCCCATGTGTGCGCTGCTTTTCCCCACGAAAGTGTTCACCCTTTTGATCAGAAAAAATGGACCACGGGCCACGTTGAAAGAGGGCTTCCTTGTTGATTCTGGAGAGAGTCACCCCAGGTCAAGAAGTTCTTCAATCAGTTCTTGACCGATCCTCCAAATCGCTCCAACAAAAACGAAAAACGTCGACTCGACTCTCAAACGAAAAAGGACCGACCCCTGATGTTGGAAGAGTCTTTCAGTCTTTCAGTCCTCGACTCCCAGTGGTCCCAGTGGTGTTCCCCTTCGGTATTTGTTTCTGGGCCCCAAATGGAGCTTTCTTGGAGCGAGCTCCACGGGTGAAAACCAAAGAGGTCGGTTCCGTCTCGTTGTCCCCCCCAAAAAAGAACATCTTTATACCAGCACCTTCCAACAGGTCTCCGAACATGGAGGATTGGGAAAGGCCTGTTAGGCCCTGTCACAGGTCTGCAGCTTGGTGACCTGTTGGCCGTCGGTGCTAGTCTATATTCATACACCCAAAAGGATCCTCCCAGATGCCTGGTCCACCTCGGGTGCGCTTCCCGAACCTTCCTCGGTGGCTTCTGACTCGTCCAACGGCCCCGGACGTGACACACTCGGCCGACGTGTCACAGCGGAAGACCTTCGTCCTTGGACCACGGAGCCTCTGACTCGTCGAAGGTTCCGGGTCAACGCACCAGTGGGTCAGCAGTCGAACTTTGGCGCTCACGCAGTTTAGGCTTTTCCTCCGGACAAGCATGGGGTTCTTAGAGGAGTGGGAGTTCTTACACACCACGGGGGTCCAAGGTCTGACCCTGGGTCCCAAGCTCTTCTTTTAGAGTCGAGCAGAGTCTAAAAGGTAGAGAGTCCCCAAAGGAGAGTCCCATTGGACCCCTGGGGTCTAAAAAAAACGAAAAACGGTGGGAAGAGAGTCCAGAAAGTTCCTGAAACCTTCTCCATGACCCCGTCTCTAACTCAATGAGTAGTACACCACGGCTAGGAACCGCTGCAGACAAAGGGTTCCTGAAAACCACTATCGCTTAAAAGCAATCTTTCAGGGTGCCGCTCTCCGATTCCATGTTAGTTTCCGGGAGTGTATATAAGATCCCCACACGACAGACAAGTAAAGACAAATCACCACCAAATCGAACATCACAAAGAAAGCCTCACATCGTCAAACATCAGCGCTGACCACCATGCAAGCACGCACCAAAACCAAAACCATACCGACGACAAGCATCAAGAAAAGACTCCTGCCTTGGGGCGTTCAAACCACGCGAACGGGGGTCCAAACCACGCGCACCGAACGCATGTGCCGCCGAGGTATCTCTTTGAGCTCTTGAAGTTTGTGGACGACTTGAAGAATATCCCGGACCGGGTCGCTTTCCTGGCGACTCGGGCTGAGGTGCTGAGATCGGTGAAGAAGGTCGGACGAAGGAGAAGGTCCAGGCTTTTCAGGTGACCGCGCAGCTCTGACTGCTATGCTGTGTACGGTACGCTGCGAACTCGCTGCCGGTCAGAGATAAGGTATATTAATATACAGCATAATATTCATCAATGTTCTGATTGATCGTCCGTTTTCGATATTTTCTCATTCGTCTTTTTTGTGCCCTACCCTCCGTATATCTGCTCGACTGAGGGCGGACGACAAGGAAGAACGCCCAGGGCGATATCCATTCACTGCATCACTTCTTTCCATCCAAAACAGAAAAAGCTCCTGAAAGAGCTTGTAGGCGGTCTCCATTCTCTTGAGGACGAAAAAGCCGGCCAAGAAAGACACATACCCAAAACTTCTCCCGAACCCCACATTCATCCTGGTCGCCTCACAAATGACTGTACGCCCTCATTCATCCTGGTCGCAAAACCCAACGACCTTCCCTGACTGCTCTCCTTCCCCCCTTCTCCCCGCCTCTTCCGCTTCCGCCAAGCGAGCTATCACGGTGCTCTTCCGCTTCCGCCTCCGCCCATCCTCCCCGCCTCGTCCAACCGCCTCAGGTGATGACGAAGGGTGTCATGGCCCGGCACACCGGAGAGATGGCCGCGTCGCAGTTCACGGGCGCTTTAGGAACCACAGTGACTGGGAGCGAAGCGGCGCGAACGGCGAGCGGCTGGTGGTGGAACCAGGTACTCGAAGTCCTTTTTTGGAGTCACCCAGATGGAATGCCGGGATCAGAAGATATGCCAGGTAGAATGCCAGCAGATATGTCAGAAATTCTGCGATATGCCAGATAGAATCCTAGAAAGTGTGCCAGGTAGAATAAGATATGCTAGATAGAATGCCAAACATATGCCAGAAATGAGGTGTCGGAAGATATTGAATGACAGAACGGATGTTAGAACATGTGCCAAAGATGATATGCCAGATAGAATGCCAAATAGATGCCAGAAATGAGGTGTCGGAAGATATATGCCAGCTTGAATGCCAGAAGACATGCCAGATAGAATGCCAGAAACGATGCCAGAAGATAGCCAGGTAGAATGCCAGAAAGAATGCCAGAAGATGTACCGGTTTGAATCTCAGAAGATATGCCAGATATAATGCCGGAAAGGATGTCAGAAGATATATGCTAGATGAAATGCTAGGTTTGAAGACCAGAGAAAAGGTCAGAGGCGGATAGAGAAGACGGGGGGGTTGATGGTCCAAATACCATTTCTTTTTGCGGGTGAAATGGTATTTGGACCTGAAATGGTATTTGGTCCTACCTGAAATACCATAGGTTCAGGTCCAAATACCACACGAAAAATAAGGTTTTTCAGAACCAGGTGTTGCATGGTGAGAACGTGTGAGATACCATCACCGGATGGCGGATTGGATCCGACGGATCCGAGGTCTGGGCGGTGTGCCGCACCATTCGCTTGGAAAGCCCCAAGTTGTTGGTCTGCACCGTGGACATGCCGCCTGGGAGCCCGAGCGCGGACGGTCCGTCGCGTGGTGTGGGTTCTACGCGTTGGTTTTGTTGCGGCGGTGGATTGATATCTGGTGCGCTGTGGGGTAGGTGAGAACCACAAACAAAAGACCAGCGGCGTGTGTGTGTTTTTTGGTGTTTTGGTTAATATTATGAAGTCTGACGATTTTGTCAGATGTTCGACACCAGCCAGGTGGCAAAGAGGAATAACTCCCAGCCAACTTTGATGGCCAGGTGAGCTGATTGATGAAGGACTGTTGGAGCAGCTGCGGTCACATCAGAGGTCTTCAGCAGTCACATCCCGATCCAGAATTATCTAAGACCATCTTCACCAATCCAGGCTTCGGCACAGAAGCCAGGATTTCTCTCACCTCACTTGTACGTGAGTGTAGTGCCTATAGGTTCTAATCTGGGGATGCCAATTCCTGTTCCATGACGTCACAAGACGGGGTGCGATCCATGGAGGTTCGGGGTGCCCCTGTCACATCCACTCACGTAAGGGGACGTTTCACACCACCCCGTCGAACGTGACTCCTGGTTCAATCCCAGACACTCCATGTATGCCATATATGCCTACATTGACCCCTCAAACCACCCCAATGTAAGCATATATGGCATACATGGAGTGTCTGGTTCAATGACGTCATATATCGTTCCAAGAGTTTCCGCGGGACTGCCACACTCCGTGAGTTCCGTGAGTGAGTTCGTCTGCAGTTGTGCAAACCAATCACACAACAGAAGGAGACCTCGGTGTTTGGACCACCAGTTCTTTCGTCCAACGAGTAGGGCCAGGCCAGTGGGTGCGTCAGGTGCGAGGTGCTTCCGAGTAGGTCATGAGTCGCTCGGCGTAGGTCGTGGACGTCTCCAGATGTTGGGTGAAAGACTCCTCCAGCTCCGGAAAGCATGGAATAGCACGATTCCCACCACGCGACCTCCGGCTTTCCGTGGTCTTTTTTTTCCGTGAACCGACACGGATGCCCAGCTTTACCGGAAGGCAGGGAGGTTCCGAGGTTCCAACGGTTCCAACCATCGCCTTGTTCAGAGCAAGTGGTTGGATGGCCCACCATCGCCTCAAATCCCCGAAGGCCCTTGAAGGCCCTTCATCATGACCATGACATGGTGGTGTTTATTCTTTTCTCCGGGGGTACAGACTCGTTCTGCCAAAGAGTAAGACCAAACTGTGTTCAAGGTAAGGCCGTAAGGCCTTGGCGCGTCCCAGGGAACATCTTCTGAGCTCTATGAGTTGGATGCAGGATTGAGGGCCTGTGGCACGCCGGCCTGCTGCCTCCCCGCACCATGTGGGGACCCAACGCCTGACGATGTGCCTAGCCTTCTACCACCCTCAGCCCGTGTGAGTGGCGCAGTTGCTCTGGTGGTTGTCGATGATTGAGATGGCATAGAGGCGCTGGAGCAGATGAAGGAGCCGACCAACCAGATGGTGATGGTCTGCAATGAGCCATGATGGCACCGTCCGCACTTCAAAAGAGTGATAAGAGGATATTCTTCTGAAGTGGTGCATTTGCAGGGTGTTGCGTACTCACATAATTGCTGTAGACTGTAGCTGCACTTAGATGAGCAAGAGCAAGCCATTCAGCTTATTTTCACAGATTTTCAAAGCACATCTGCTGATTGACATCGCCTGCAGGTTGTGGGTTGTTGGCGTGCTGATTCGATGATCCAACCAAAAGCAAAGCGACAAGTCGACGTTTTTGAGAGGTGTTCAGCAACAAACAGCTGTGCAGTTCTTGATTGGACCTTATTCATGCCTGACTGGAGCTTCTTGGAGCTTCCTGGATCGGCCACCCCAGCTATTCAGCTTGTTAGTCCTCGGGGAATGGCGACTGCATAGTGACTACACCAGCAATGGCCAGAGCAGACAGACTCACCATGACTTGGCAAAATCGCGTCTGCCTCGGGATGTGTGAATGGCGACGATCTTGGAACATGTTCAGGTCCCGGCACTGTGACACTTGTGTCCCCAGACACTCCATGGGACTGATATATATATATATATATTTACCTACACACCAGGGTGGTGATGTCAGGGGTCTGGCTTGATCGGTCAATATGCCAGTCCCAGGCAGGTCGTGTCGTACTGTTTGCGCTTGAACTGCGACAGCCACTGTGACAATAGTGGATTGGCTGGTCAGATGACAGCCTCAGTCCCAGACGCATTGGCTTGATGGCTTGATCTGGGATTATGACTGTGACAATAACTGTGATTTTTCACGTCCCCAGATGTTACTGTACGGCTCAGGGGATCGTGCTCCTAGCATCCTGATCTTTAAGAAACTAAATACACTCCCGAAAACTCACATGGACCCGGGTCGAATGGCACCCTCGAAAACTGTTTTCCTCTAGCTGCACCAGTGGTTTTCAGGGTCTAAATTTGAGTTTCAGTGGGGTAAAACATAGTAAATGATGTAACTTAGAACTTCCAATGGGTCATTAGAAACTCCACCTGGAAGCCGTAATCTTTATCACCACGAGTAGTATGGGTAAAATCGGGTGATGATATTGGACTCTCAAGGTACTCCCCAGAGGACCACATGGGGGTTCCCCAAACCACGCCTGGTTGGTCTGCGGAACATGGTGGAAACCGGTCAATTCTGAGGTTCCATGGGCTCGTTTGCTGGAGGGTCATGAGACAAATTCCATTCCTGATTCAGATTCTTTTTCCCAGACACTTCATCGGCATATTGACCGATCAGTTGGGGGTGTTTCAGGGGTCAATCCAGGTCAATATACCAGTCCCATTAGTCGTGTGTGGTGACTTGTGTCCTCTTTCCGCTGCCGACTTTGGCGCCCAGGTCCAGCGCCACCACTCATGAGATGACTGACTGCATCCGTGCAGCTGGGGCGCCCGGAGACGAGCCTGGGGCACATCTCCATGTTCGGGGTTCGTTCGCTGGCCGTCCATGCCCCACCAACGAAGATGCCGAAGAGATTTCATTTGGGGACGGATCAAAAAGCCTGGAACCATGTAGCGAACGACCGACATCAGCTACTAGGTCAACCACTCTGGTCTCCTGGTTTTAACCCACAGCCATTTCATAGTCCAGTGTCTGCACATTTTTTCCTGTTTTTCTGGCAGTGGTGGAGGGGTCGTTGGGCCGTGATCTGTTTCTCCAGAATGGGCTGGCTTGGTTGGCTCGGGAGGGCCGCCGCAGGTGCCTGGTGTGTGCAATCGCGGTGGTAGCAGGTGCCTTGTTGTGTTGACCATGGCATTGTTTGGCGTGTGCAAACCATGCTGGTGAATCCTTGCTGGTGAATCGAAGTGAATGTACTTGGACAAGCGAATCCACTCGCTTCCTTTGTGGCCCATCTAAAGTACAGTACAACATCCTCAAGTCATTTGGCAACACTTCAACACCGTAAGTATCTAGGGCGGCAGGTGTTCAATTTCTCCCTAAGCCCAAGCCGCCAGGGCCACCAGGGCCACCAGAGCAAGACATGTTTGCCTGGTCCAAAGCCATCAGAGCGAAAGCCGAATGGTGAAAGCTCGTAGTTCTGTTGCACGGGCAGCTTCAGAAATGTGCAAAACCTCTGTCGTGGTACCTGTCTTTCTTCTTTCCGCCCTCTTCCCCTTCAATCCGATTGGCCACTCCGGGGCGGTCAGGAAACCGGGTGGCGACATCCCAAGCCCCGACGTCGGAGCGGTCGGATTCCGAAGGGGTGTCCCAGGACACTGATCACTAGTTGAGGCCAGACGGCATTTTAGAGAAAAGACCCCTGACTCACCATCCTCCACCACTGGGCCCCTCATCGGATTGATACACCATGATACACCGAAAGTTCACCGAAAGTCGCCCAAGTGAGTGCAGACGAGGTGGGGGTCTCAGGGTGGAAACCCTGAAGACATCCTGAAGACATCGAAGGAGAAAAACATCCGCCGCTGGATGTTGCTGCTGGTTGTGGCGGCATCCTCGCTTCCGACCAAAAGGAGAAAAACCTCCCCGGAACTTTCACGTTGACACCAAAAAGACAACACCAGACACATGGGACTGGCATCTTGACCGATCAAGCCAGACCCCCTGACATCACCACCCCGACGGCCGTTTTCTGGGTCGTCCGACGTGTCAGTCCCAGACTGGTCGTGGGAACCGCATCATCGGACCTTGGCAGGGGTCCCTCACCGGCTTTCTCCCGAAAACTTCCGCCCGCTCGCCCGCGCCTGCGCGTCGGGCTCCGAGCTGAGGCGCAGTTGGAGCCCGGTCCTCGCAACGAGATCGCCTTCATCGTCGATCGCAAGAATCAGCTAGGTTTGGGGGGGCACCGGTTGGGGCCAAGGGGGGGGGGTGAGGACTGAGGGCAGGGTCGTGTCAAACATGTTTAAACATTAAACATTAAACCAGACACGACCTGCCTGGGACTGCCGGACTGCCGATCAAGCCAGACCCCCCATTCAACCACCCCTGGCCGTTTCTCGGCAGTCCGACATGGCAGTCCCAGGCAGGTCGTTTTTGGGATTTAAACACGGGGGGGTGAGGACTCAGGGTGAGGACTGAGGGTGAGGACTCACCGGACCTGTCAGGATGAGCACTCGGTTATCGCCGGACTCCTTCATTCGCCGGGCTCCTTAACGAGGAACCAAATGGGAAAGACCTGGCAGACTGTTGTGCAAAATCCTTATCACCCACACGCTCCTGAACCCTCATATGCAGGGGCAAATCCCTATGGTTTTGAGGGACCAAGGGCTGTTTGGAGCGTCTGGGCAAAGCAATGGTTGTTTGGCAGACTGCAGACCCTATCCACGTTTCCCCCCCCAGCCTTAAACGAAAGGCACTGCTTGCCTTTCATGCCAGGCAAGCGGCCATACTGATCCTCAGCTTCCAGATTTGCATTCCGTGAAAAAGACGACCTATACGACTGATCGTGCGCATACGGGCTTGAGACCAAATCAATGAGGTGTTCACGTCCAAGTAAGACGGATGGATCATGAAACCAGACCCTCTAGTTCTGAAGTGCACCCATGCAGGTCTCACTTGGCGCCCCACACTTCAACGTGCTGTGATGTTGGCATGAACATCACAAGAGACATGCGACGACCCACACTTGAAAACTTTACACTTGATGGCCAGGAATGACTTGTGGCTTGTCTGAAACGATGTTCAAACGGGCGGTCTGCGGGGAATGTGGCGGTCCCTGAAAATGAACTGAACCATGTAAGAAACAACATAAAGAAATGAATATTCGGCCCATCGATCTCCCATGGTGCTGTCTGTGGCTTTTGGCACTCTTGCTCGCGCCAGAGGCAACACATGCAGCAGCGTGCAGCAACGCAGAAGGAACATGGATTTGTGGTTCAACGATGATCAAAGACATGTATTGTCATGTGCCTGGAAACTCGCAGGAAACCAGGGATCACGTGCATGGAGACTTGCCAAGAAAAGGCAAGACTCGAATATAATCAATTCATTCATGCTCACCCCCAAAACCCTTCGGCTGTTTGTTTCCTTTCGACGAGCATTTATCATTATCATGTCTTTGTTCGGGTTTAAGGGAAACCACTCTTGGTGCACAATGCTTGTTCCAAAATGGCGACAGCATAAGAAAACACCTTGAGATCCTTTACAAGGTGGTTCTACTACGAACACATCCATTTTGGACATCGTCTGCTGGTACTCTTCACCGTCGCGCTACGCGAGCGAGCGAGCGAAGCGCTTCGCTTTGCCGCCCATCGCGCGGTTTTGCGTGGCGCCGCTGACGCCGACGCCATCAGGCACGCGTGGCGGTGGTTGAGGGGGCGCGTGTGTGGCTTGGACTTGAGGCTTCCAACAAAGGTGGGTCAGAATTTGAATGAATTTGACTGTTCGACTATGACTATCTCAGTTGGGTACCCCAGGTTTTCCGGGTCCTATGAAACCGGTCACTTTTCACCTACCTCTGGCGAGACCCGGAGTCGACGCCAAAGGACGAAAACCCAAACGTGGAGAACGGAGAACGGAGAACGAGTCAAATCGACTTCGGTCTCAGTTGTGGGGTTTCGGAGTCCAAATGGCTGGAAGTTCTGGGAAACGTGGATCTTCCAGATCTGATCTGGCGCAATGGCCTGTTTCGGCAAAGGCAGAGGAAAAAGGATGACAACAGCACCAGTTCTGTGGGAGAATCCTGAAAAAGGATCCGAACCCTTGTGGACCGTGTGACGCCGTGTAGGCCTATGGCGGCGGAGCATGGAGGTCGGGAGCTAGCGACCGGGGGGGTGAGGTGACCTGGAGCCAGGCAGTTGGGCGGTTGGGGTGCCTATAATATTCGAAAGGCCAGAGTTTGCACTGGACATGTTCTTTTTCCTTCCCCACCACATTCTTTATTCACACACCTTTTTTTTTGGTTCTTCCATGATCAGCATGAACAAAAGCATCACACGGTTCACGGTTCACGTTTGGCGATCACCCAAAGCCGCCATTCGGACGATCCGATGAAGACCGCGCTACAGGTCCTCCCTTTGAGACCGCGCTACACGAGGCAAAGCCGAAGCCACCGACCCTGACCCTTCGTGGCGGCGTGTGTTTTGTTTTTTGGCGGTTTTTTCGGGTGAAAAGCTGGATTTTACGGACGTCATAGATGCACTGCCTTGAAGGTAGGGTTTGTACTGATGCATTGTTTTATGATTTAGGGTGGCTTGTTTGGTGCTTTCTTTCTCGTGTTAGTGGAATAGTGGAATCTGGACGGGCTTTAATCTTGGGTCAGGTTACCAGGAGACGACCAGCACGAGTTTTTTTTTCAATATTTTTCAAGAAGGGAAGGTGGAGTGGCACCTGAGATGGGTCCCTTAGTAGAGGAATCTACAAACAATATGCTCCCTTAGTAGAGGAAGCTGTACACTTATCCAATGCCCACAAGCATGCCATGTTGGACGGTATATGAGCAGCAACATATTATATACATTTTCCAGTCGTAGCAGTCACCTCTGCGGGAGCCTCAAAACAATGAGGCAAGTACGAATGTTTCCTTTCACCCCACAACTCAAAACGTGTGAGACTTTGTGACTTCCTGCCACTTTCCATGGATGATGATCTGTGTGAGACTCGCAGTCGGATGGGCGTTTTCCTCATTTTTAGTACGCCCGCTTTTGTTTCCAAACGCCTTTCTGATTCTTGGGTTTCTTCTATTCCAAAAGGATAAGCGGATTGGTGGCAGTGCAGATGGCAGAATACCTTTCGGAAGGAGTTTTCGGGAGGATCATGGACATGTGGAAGTCGTAATGCCTCGCGGCGACGTATGGTACAATCGGCTCGTGGACCGCAGAAGACCTTGAAGGAGGAAGATGCGCGTCGCGCAGCGCATGAGCTGGGTGTGGTCATGCCTTGCGGGCTCGCTGGAGGGGTGCGGTCAGCGGACGATCAGCGTGTTGGATCGCCGAATGCCTAACGCAAGGTCGAGGGGGCTGTGCGCTACATGGCCCATGTCGACAGTGCGCCAGCGGCTTCTGCATCCGCAGACGCGACAGTGAGACATGGTCTACAATGCAAATGATGCACCGGGCTGGAATGCATCATATACATTAGCTTTCCTGGCAATCCCTCTGCTTAGAACCTCGCAGGCCACTGGGCAGAGTGTTGACAGATGTATTTTTGTCGAAATTTGTCGCAGTGAGGTTAGATGGATCACCAAAAAAGGTGGTGCCCAGATAGCATGAACATAGCTGTATTCAAGGAAACGTGGTGCGAGATATGCTGCCCGAGTTGCCTTGCATTATTAGCACTTTGTGTGCTTGGATTGCTCTTCTTATTTTCTTTTCATCTTCCAGAAAAAAGGAAAAGGAAGACAAAGAGGAACAGGAAGAAAACGAGTCAGAGGAAGAAAGACTCAACATAGGCCCAACCCCAAAATTGCCTAACCTAGCCGCCAACACCAACGACCAACAACCAACAACCAACACCAACACCAACGACCACACCAACGACCACAACACCAACAACAACAACACACAACGTCTGATGGCTGGCCTGCTGGCCCGCTGGTGGGCGTCCCCTTAAATCGCTTTGCACATGGCTGACCGGCCAACGAGCCGAGCTTTGAATGTCAATCCTCCGTTGATAGAGAAAGGCGCGCAGCACCAAAGAGTTCAACAAACTTCGCGCGACTTATCACGAACAGATGACGCGCAGCAACTACGTGTGTTTGCAAGAGCAAGTGCACCGAAAGGCACCTATATGAATTTGAGGGAGCGTGTGCCCGAAAAGGGCACAAGACACCACAGCCTGGACTCTCAACTTGCGAACAAGGATGCAAAACGTTTCTGGCTGCGAGATTCTTCGTTTCTTTTCTTCACTTAAAGCTTCATATTCTCTCGCTTCCGATTCTCTTCATATTATGTTTCTTTTCCTTTTGGTATCTTCTGGCTGCTTGCTTCTTGGCTTGGACGTTCTGCTCTCTATCCTGTTGCGCATAGGATGGAGCAGCAAGATTGATGACACCAGACCTCCAGAAATGGTCCAGATGGTTGTCACTGGCCTAACAAGTGCGATTTGGTAGGGGCACACTGCGAAAGAAACCTGCTATTTGGGACATGTTTTTGGTAAGGGTATCCCAAAATACTACCTGCGTCGATCTGCACCCAAAGGCACTTCGAAAACATGTGACGTCGCTTCAATTATCAACTTGTTCTGACCATCATATTCCAATACCCACCGTCCCTGGTCCAGCCGGCGCCAACCACACAGCTTGGCATGCACTCGCTGATTTCGACCAGGCGCACCAGAGGCTGTTGGCCGCCCATGGTGCGGCCCTGGCCACGCTGGAGGCGGAGTTGGGGAAAGAGGGAACCAAGGGGTTTGTTCTGAAGAAGACCTCCCGTCTCCAACAGGGGAGCTGTTCTGAACGAACACCAGGCTGGCAGATCACAACAGATGAAATATACACACCTGAGACAGGTGACCTACCCAAAAAGTATGTGGATCACCTGCAAAAACCTTTCTTTGGGGATTGGTTGGGGTTGGGGGCACCCCACGCAACAAGAACAGGTAGAATATTTGGTTCACCTGTCTTGCTCACGGAAAGAAAAGGGAGTCAGAAAAAGAATTCTTGATTTGTCTCGATTTTGGGCTGGTGGTGGTTGCCAGGTCGCTGGGTACACTAGGTCTTTGGTGTTTGGGTGGTATCCCACCAACAGATGTTGAGAATCTTGATCCCCCAACAAATATGGAACCTATGAGGTGGATCCGTTGGAATTTAGACATGTTGAGCAACTCGTCATTCAAATCACCTGCATGAGCCCCCTTGTTTTGAAACCAAAATGTGGTCCTAACGGCCGAGGATCTCCTGGGAAGGAGATGAACAAGTTGATGGACAGCTTGTCCTGATGGGCTGCACCACCAAAAGGTCTATTTTTGAAGGCACCCTGAAGCACCTCAGGCATCGCGAATTTGTTTTGCATTGCTGCAATGGATTTGGCCGGCCATTGTCCGTGCCTTCTTTGCTGCGAAATCGGCTCAGACCACTGAACCGCTTCATGTGCTTTTGAAAACGGCCCAACTAGACAAGCCAGGAGATGACAGAACTTTTGAAGCACCACGGGTCCGACAGCGCACGCATATATATTCTTTTTCACCCAACCGACCTGGAAGCTGGCCTCGACACTCCCCACATACATTCGATTCCTCCGCCCTTCTTCGACTCCTCAGCCCATATTCCCACAAACATCAGAAAAGACACGTCGCATCTTGTTCTTGTTCCACCGGATCCTCTTATTCTTAATTGTTTCCCCCCAAAGACACATTCTTCTTCAACCGACTCACCCAACACGACCGTCTTCGACTCCACTCGGCGTCCCGCGGTGCGGCGCCATGCGCTGGGCGCTGGGCGCTGCGCCCTTGAGGCCATGGGTGTGTCCGGGCCCTGAGGCGAAAGGCGTTTGGTGGGCGCGTTTTTGGATGTTTTTGAGCGAAAGGGAAGTGGTGGTCTGAAAACCGTGAAATCAACGAGGTTCATGACATTTCAAGCTCCCCCCCAGGCCAAGACCTTTTCTTCGAACATGACTTAGGTTGTTCTGAGTGATTCGCAAGATTTCCTTGACTCAGGTTTGCTGCTGGTGACGCTCGGCCACAGCACAGGCTGTGAGGATGATAGCCAGGAACTCAGACGTTTCCAGCTCCGCGAGACTTGATCAAAGCCCAGACGTGATCGGCTGAGAACGCGCGCGGATCTACATGAGAGCGATCTTTGGCGATCTTTGGCTTAGACTGAGACTCATAGACCGAAGCTTTCAGCTGTTGCCCTGGGAGTCGGTCAGACTATAAAAGAATTGTCTTTACATGACCCGAAAAGGAGTTTCCTTTACTTCAGTCGGTTAAAATATAGTCGAACTGGACTTCTAGGGTGTTGGGCAAAAGTCTTTGCCCCCAAAAGAAGATCCACGAACAGCGGAACCGTTTCACTGGGCTCGAAGAAGCCGGGACCTCGACCGCCAATCCTTGTGCCGGTCTCCCCGGCATGTATAATACATGTCTTTCTTTTGTTTCGAACACTTCGCTCCACAGTGTTCGATCTTCCCCCTCTCAATCTGGGGGATCTTCCTTCCTCTCCCTCGCCGGCGCGGCGGCTTTGGTCCGCCGCACGGTCCGTCGTTCCGCCCCCCCGCGCGGTGCTCAGGTGGCCTGCTGCAAGTGCTTTCAAGCCCCGTCGAAGCTGTGGAGCTGGGAATTCTGAACGCTTCAAAGGCTGGGAAAGGTGGTGGAGCAATGGTAGGTGTTCCAATCTTTTTTCACAGGTCGTTGGTTCTTGTTACAGGTCGTTGGTTCTTGTTCTGTGTTATTTGTGTGTGTGTTTTTCAAGTTGTTTTGTGAATGATTGATGTCTAATCAAATCTATTCGTTGATTTGGTTTTTGGCTTTAATGTATATTAGAGTGTCGTATTTCTCTGGAGGTTTATACCGACAGGCAGTCAGGGCGGTCTAGGTGTAGTGGGCAATTCCAAGGTAGATTGCACATGATGTCATCATGATGTCATCATGATGTCATCATGATGTCAGTGATGTTCTGTTAAGTTGCTGGCATCGACAACATGAGCAGGTCGTTTTTTGGACATAACAAATCGTTTGAACATTTTTGGATATTCCTTATGCTGGGTCAGTTTACATTCCGACATGGAAGTGGAAGCCACCTGTTTGTTCAAGGGTTCCGTCCTTTTTGCAAAGGGGCCATTGTCAACCTCTATGTTACGGAGTTGGCCATTTTACTCAATGGCCGAGTTGGTACCGATGAACTCCTTTTACACTGTGGTGGAAACCGAACATGGAACCTGATGCCATGGACCTGACTGGAAGACGAGGAATTCCTCTACAACCAAGGTAGGTTTTCGGGTTCCATGTGGCGTAGGTTTTTGGTCGTCCCCAAGTTGTGACTGTCAAGATGATTTGAAACAGGCTGGTATCGGCGTAGATCAACTGCTAAAGTTCTATGTTGGTCATGGTTGGATTATGACAGGCTGGTTGTTAGTGTCTTGGTGGCCTCCACTACAGGCGAACCTGTGACTCTGATCCCATGCCAAATACCCTAAACATCCAGTTCGACGAGATGTTGACCGACTGAAGTCAAGGACATTCCATTTCGGGTCATCTATATCGTCAGACCATTCTTTTGTATGCTGGATCCCGACTCCCAGGAACCATAGCTTTGTGCAAACCTCGCATCCTTCAAACCTCGCGTTCCGCGCGTTTCCGTCCGGTCCGGGGATTCGGGGCCGAATCGGCCAGGAATCTGGTGTTGATGTTCTCCAGGTGTCATGATGTCTCATGGCCCTGAAGGGAGCTGATGGCCTGACTCCCACATGGTTGGTCAGTGATCATCAGCTCAAGTCGTGCATGTGTTCCACCACCACATGGAAAAGCCGTCAGCTCAGGTCGTCGTGGCTTTTTGCTGAGAAATCGTTGGGGGGGAGCAAGAGAAGCGCCTTTGTTCGTCGTGTTTTCCACGACACCACCTTTCATGGCACCTTTCCCACTAACAGACATAGATGGTCGACCAGCCCGGCTCTTGATTGGTTGCTGGGTCATGGCAGTGGACTGCACGACCCGGAGGGCGGTTGACCCCGGATCAAATGAACAGATTCCTCGTCTGTGAAGGGAGGTCAACTGAAACCATCGTTTTGTTGGGGAGGTGCCTGGTTCCCTACAGCCAAATAGAGGGGAGACCCTCAGTCGTTCAAGCAACCAAGTAACGAAAACGGCATCGAATTCTCCGGAATCTGGACCCGTGGGCATTTTTCCCCGGATCGGAGAGATTGGATGTTGCTTGGTGATGTCTTTAGCCTAGGCTTCCAAGACCATTGAAACATGGTTGACGTGGTTTTTGTAGTGTAAAATCCATAGTTGATTCGGTAAGGCCGGTAAAGCCTATTGAATTAATGGTTGTTGGAAGCCTAGGGTTTAGCTGGTTCTCCATTACCTTCCATTACCGGCATCACCCAGGAGTCGCATGCAGTTCGGGTGGTGTTTAGTCGTCGTCGTCGTCCTATCCGTCGGGGGCCGGCTGTGGATGTGACACGCACCAACGCACATACATGACCTCCATGAAGCTCGCATCCCTGGCCCTACTGGACAGGCTGGACATGTTTTTTTTTCTCCAAAAAACGGGTCTCCGGCCAAGCCCGAACGTCCCGGTGGCTTCGGGTGCCCGAGAAGAGGCGCACTCAGCTGCGTCACCGAAGTCTTCACCAGGCGCGGGTTCACGCACGAACCGCAGGGGCCATAGCATCCTGTTGGCTGGCCTGTTTGGTGGGTTAAATCTCGTCGCAGGTCATCTCGGTACCGAGGACATCACTGTCCCAGCAGCGTCTGCAGGCGAAATCCACCCGCAAAAGCAAGGGGAAGTCTTGCTTTGGCTGATCCAATTCTCTAGAGAGGTTTTTTTATAGGGCGGAGAAACCCACCTTTGTGGACGCCCTTCTAGAAGATCAAACAAGGATAAACCGCAGGCAATATGTTGCCGCAGCATATAGGTGTGCTGGATCCCGAGAGGCTCGTAGATAGCAGAGAAATTTTTCAGTGAGAACCACCTGAACCCCCAAACAACCAGAAATAAATGGCTGTTCTAATCTGGCTTGCTTGAGATGCTTTACATCTAGGAACTAGTTGTTTGTGGAAACATCAATTTTGTTTCTGGTTGTTTGGGGTTTTCCCGGCAGTGCATTGTCAGCGGAGCACAGCACTTTGCCCCGAAAAGGCAACATTTCACCTATCCCATACACGACCAGTGCGACTGGCAGATGTTCCCTGCATTGATCGCTTTTCCACATTAACCACCCCAACTGATCGGTCAAGAGTCCCAGTCCCACGTGTCGTTTATGTTTGGAAAAAGAGCAACTGTCATGCCCACAGGCCCACCCGCTCCAGGATTCACAGACCGGGACGCTGGGGAACCATGTTGCCTCCAGGATCCCCGAGGAACCAGGCGACTTGGTCCACTTCACACCGACCCCCACACCGACCCCCCTAATATTGAAGAACATCCACAGGGTCCAGCATTGGAAGCGGAGACGTGCGCGATCTCATTCTGTTTTCAAAAGGTAGTACCATAAAAGGACACCGTACCAAGTAGGGACATATACCAAATATGGTACCCCTCTATATCTGTTCTACACCACCTCCAAAGGACCTCCTTGCCCGTTCGATCTGCCGACGCCGCGCGAACGGCACAGGTGGCTTCCTCGGGCGCCTGGGAGACCTCGGGAGGCGTCGAAGAAGCGGAGCGTCCGCGGAGCGAGGAAGAAGCGGAAGAAGCGGAAGAAGGACCCCGAAGCAGTTTCCACCGATGGTTGGAGTGTCAAACTGAGTTTCCACCGACCTGAAGAATCTGAAGAATCAACGACCTACTCGGCACTGGAAGAGATGCCGCCCAAGAACGATGCCGCGGACGCGCCCACGCGCCCGCGGAGTCTGGCCGGCAGTCCCATGGAGCTCGTGTTTGGGGTATGACACGGAACATGTGCGGTATGTATGGGTATATATATATCGGTATGTATCGGTGAGGATCGGCGTGTAATGGTGTATCATGCTGTGTATCTGTGTGTTCAAGTGACTGTGATCACCAGCCAGACTGACTGGGGAGAGCGATCCGGGAGCCTTTCTGCAGGATGTGTGGCCCCGTTAAAATGACCCTGGGAGTCGGTCAGACTATAAAAAGAATGGTCTGACGAACGGTGACCTGAGTTCAGGCACTTCCTTTAGTCGGTCAACATAGAGTCGAACTGGACTTCCAGGGATGATAAAACATCCGCAATCCCGAACATCCCGAGCTGTTCTTGTCCGGATGTTGTTTGGCACACACTTCGGTCCACTTGTCTCGCTCGCTCGAGTCTTTGTTGAACTGAAGCGGGTTTTGCGCAAACCGTAAGAACGAACGAACGAACTCCCCAGATGAAAAGGACGCGCTTTGAGGGCTTGGCATTCATGTACCCTCCCGGTTCCACAAGCAGCTCGTCACGGTGTTGCCCTGATTGCATGGTCCACGGTGCTGCAGTGCATCCGACGGAACTCGCTGCCCATCAAACCGGGCGGGTTCGTGAACGCTTTTCATGGGAACTCTGACGAAGACCATGGAAGTGGAGTGGAATGAGTTCACTAAGTCCACTCCCTTGTGGGACCCCCACATCGTCCTCATCCCACAGTGAAGTGGAGTGGAATGAGTTCACCCCCCTGTGTTGCAAAGAGCGAAGCCCGTCGTCTCCACCGGCCCTACCGCCCGCCAGCGAGTGGTGGTCGTTCGAGTGGATGTTCCGCCCGGGCTGGGCCTCAGGAGCGACTACGATCCATGGGCACTCCCTGAAACAAGACCCGCACACGACCTGCCTGGGAATGCCATATATATATATATATACCTGGACCTGAAAAAGGGGTGTCCTGTCTGGAGGTCCCTGATCGTAGTGGGCTGGGGCTTCCAGCCAGGAGACCCCTTTGAAGGTGCTGGTATATATGCCTACATTGACCCCCAGTCAACCACCCCAACTGATCGGCATATATGGCAGTCCCAGACGTGTCGTGTCTGGGAGAGTGGAAAGCGTCCATTTAAAATGGTCATCTGTGGTTTCGAGGCCATGCCATCCACCGAATTACTGCAACCATGACATTTTCAAGGAGTGTACTATGTACCAACAAAAAAACATAGTTTGCTATTAGGTTGAGGTTGGGGGCCATCTCTTCTAGGTTGGAGGCCATCGTGCTAAACAAAAGAGCACAAGACACCACCCATCCGGCGCCAGGTTCTGGTTGCATTGGATTGCTGAGCCGCTGCAAGCGCAGGAACGAGTGGGCGACGAGTGGGCAGCCGATGCTCCCCCCGTTCGCCTTCCGTTCAACCGAAAAAGGTTAGACCTGGTTTTTGTAGTGAAACACCCTTATTAGTAGAGCAGTAGAGCAATGGTTGTTTGGGATGACCCGGCTATTAAACCAATGGTGGGCCAGGAATCCGGCTGAAAGTGTTTAGGAGAATGGCTGAAGATGGCTGAAGTTTAGTTAATTATAACAATTCCATCCAATGCATTCTCCACTTTCTTTGCGCACTGCTCCGAAATGTTTGAAGACATGTTGTGGGGGTCCTTGCATTGAAGCATTTAAGGACAATCTTCACCACAGAAAGAAGCTATGGTCCTTGACCTCCTGGGCGGTAATTCTTAGAATCATCGAGCTTCACGTGATTCTGCTGCCGCAAGTGCGCATTCTTTAGCATTCACCTGATTCTCCATTCTTCAGAGTGCCGCAAAACTCGCGCTTCAGTCCTCCAAATCATATGGGGCTCTGAATCGGGACTCGGCACCTGAATCCGGAGTCCCTCTCAGCCAGATCGCCGGACCCCCCCCTGACTCCCCGGCGGAGTTGCTCCTCTAGCGCTCCTCCACCGCTCCGCGTTGAAAAAAAATACACATTTGCCAGTTTGAGATACAGATCTGCTTGGCCGACATGCAGATGTCTCATGTTTATTTCGAATGGGTGACCTTAAGGGCCTTCGGCCTGTAAACAGCGTTTGGTTTATTACATGACGTCAACAGGCCAACCCATCCGATCCCGGCCGATCCCGGCCGGGTCGACCCGCGGAGGGTCGGGTCGGGTCGACCCGTCTGAGCGCCAGACCATTCTGAGCGCCAACGTCTCGCAGAGTGCGCACCATGCGGAGCTCACGCAGAGCCTGGTCGGGGTCGCCCAACTGGGCCTCGCGCAGGGGCTGGTCGCGGGGGCCAGGGAGGAGTCCGCTTTCAAAGAAGATGGTTCGTGATGGTTCGTGGTGGTGCTGTTTTATCAATCCGTGGGCTTGTTCAATCTGGTAGCGCTGGTCCACCTGGTCTAGCGAACGACCGACACCTACAGAAATGGAAAATCCAAATAACACATAATAAAATCCATAAAAGATAAGAGACCGGGCACACCAGAAAATATTGTGACCCCTTCATATTAATGCTGTAGGTTAAAGGCCAGAAAAAATAGGAGGAAGATACCAGAAAAATCAACAGCATTAATATGGAGGTTACAGCCTTATGATTTTTCTGTTATCTTGGTCATTCATCTTTTATATTTTTGCTTTTTTTAATTCCTTCCGTTCAATCGCTCAGACAGAAAGCACACATATAAATTACAGATGAATGACATGGCTTTTTAATATTGGAAATCTCTTAATAATTAAACACGCCATTTATTATACAATTTTTATTAGCAATTTAATTTTAAGAAAAGACCATAATGAATTAAATGGCTATACTTCTTTATATATTATTCGGTTTTTACCTTTCGGTCGCTTGGGCACAGCTTATAATTTCTGGAATGGTAAAATCCCATAAAAGAAAGATATTTATATTGCCATTTATTTTATAATGAAATTACTATTAAAACAAATGGCCAATACAATAAGTAATCCATTAAAATAAATTGGGTTAGCTTGGGACCTCCCAGATCTTGGAAGTGGTGGATGTAGCCAATCTATTTTATATCTAATGGTAGATCAAACGTTCGGTCTCTCTAATGCCTTGACCCACAACCACCCTTCAGGGATTCCAGCGGAGCACCATCCATGGGACCAAAAACAGACCAACAACCTGTGGCAGACCAACAGCAGACCTCATTCTGGCCAAATCTGACCTCACTTGTCACCCACTCTTTCACTGTTTCAACAGACGCATGGCGTCTACCCGACGAAACGACCGTTTCACCTCCCCAGATCCTTCCCGACGACCCAGGTGTCACTCCAGGAGACCCTTCGAACGAACGACGAATTGGACGAATTGGACCGGTTCGTTCTCTCGTTCTTCGTGTGTTCGCGGCGGCTACGGTAGAGGTGGAAGTCTCACTCTCGATGTTTTTGAGAAGAAGATTTGGGTTCAAAGGGAGATGGTACAGTAGTTCACGTGAAACAACCCATAGCCCCCTTCTCGGGTCCAAATACGATTTGGAGGAGGCACGACTCTTCAGCCGTATGATCGGATAGTTTAGGTTGAAGATGTTTTCCTCTTAGATCTGTTCATCAATCCATCGAGACTTTGAGTTTTCAAGCGGCGGATGGGCAAACCTCACACAGGCACGACGTGGGCACCCCCGAGAACACCTGCCGAGTGTTTGGCTGAAACACTCGGCAGGTGCTGGGACCTGTACGGAACATCGGGCACCTTTGATTTCTTTCCCAAAGGGAACCGAGAAGATGGAGAGGTGACAGAGGGAAGAGCCAGAAACTGCAAGAGGCTCAGCAGAAGTATACCAGGACCCCCTGTAAGGGGTGGCCCCTTAGAGGTTCAGGGTTAAGGGATGTCCATTAACCACCCCGACGGTGGGTCCTACCTCTTACTTTTAGCGATTCGTGAAGTGGATTTTGAAGCCTTTCACTCTGCAAGACGCCTTTGCCTTGACCGAGGCACTTAGCGCACCAGAAAGAATGAAAGGAAGAATAACATTAGTTACCAGCAGTCACAAGACGGGGTGCGATCCATGGAGGTTCGGGGTGCCCAGCTACTCCACTCACCTAGGGACTAAACACCACCCCTTTGTGACTCCTGGTACCTGGTCTTAACCTTCCACTTTCGAACAGAAAAAGAGAGAGAGAGAGAGAGAGTTTGGTACCAGAGGGTCCCACGATTCCCATTAGTAGGTCACCAAGCAGTAAGTCACTCAGTAAGTATTTTCCACCTTTTTGGAGGGTTTCCAAGGAAGATGTACATTTGGCCCGGTGCACCGGGCCCATGGATGTGGTACACTCTTTGGTCATGGATCCGTGGAGTTCATCCCTTTGGGAGCCATGCCATTCCCTTTGATTGAAGAGAACCGGGTGGACCCAGGTGGTACACTCCTTCCTTGCCCAGACACGACACGTCTGGGACTGCCATATATGCCGATCAGTTGGGGTGGTTGACTGGGGGTCAATTGATCGGCAGTCCTATGGCAGTCCCATGGAGTGTGTGGGTTGGAATCATGGTTTCGTGCATGGCACCACCGGTCTTCGGTTTCGTGGATGGCACCATCCGAGTCGACTCGGCGCCATACACTTCCTTCCTTCCAGGGAGTGTATGGCATGGATTCTTTGGATCTCTTCTCCAAACATCGAATCGTCCTGTCAGCGCTAGCTCACACGCCATCCATCTCTGAGATCTCTGAGATCATCTACTATATATAGCCCTATATAGTCCACTCCAAGAGGGTCCTAAGAAACAGAGCCCAGCGGAGCGAGACCGTGGCGGAACGAAGAACGCAGCAAACCTACCTGTGTAAGTACCCAGGCCGAGCCCCCAACACTTCCACCGCGCGAGCGACCGCGCACGCGTTCGTTCGTTGCGCCGGCGATGCCAAGAGAGGAGCATGATCCGACGGATCTCGCGTGGATGACGGTCCTCTTAGGCAGCCTCATTGGACTAGCACCTCAGCAGCACCTCAAAAGGGTCAAGTTATGGGTCAAGTTATCATTCCAGGCAGTGTATTTTCCAGAAGGGAAGAGAGACTTTCACCGGTGCAAACAAGACTTGCAAACAAGATTTTGTCCCAGTCTGACAGTCTGACCCAGTAAAACCTGGTCCTAAAAGCTTCAGAGTTGTATTTTAAGCTACTAGGGGCTCCTGGCATCGCTACTAGGAGCAAGGACGCTACGTTCGGGGCTCCTTGCTCCGTTCGTAACGATGCCCTTTGTTCCTAGTAGCTTTTTGCTAGCAGTAAGGCCAGGAGCCCCGTTCGGTTCACGTCCTTGTTGACTTCGACGCGCTTGGACCGGTGCTCTGCAGTTCCTCCGCCCGCACGAACCTCAGGCGCTGGTGGGGGCTGCGTGGTATACCTTCCTCAGAGCCTTGGCCTTCCCCAAGACACCGCCGACTGCGACACGCGGAAAACGCCGAAAGACACGGTGGGTCCAAGTCTCCAAAAAAGAAGTGGGACGCTGGGTTTTAAGCGTCCTCCGGTGCAAAAGCCCGCTTTTTTGGTGTACCTGCTGGAACACACACACACACACAAGCAGAGATCGATTGTTGTTCTGATATGGCTTGCTTGAGATCTTCTACATAGGAAGAGGCCTGGAGTGGGAAAACATCCTTTTATTCCTGGTTGGGACTGGTACTTATAACAGCTAGTCTTCCCACTTGGTCTGAGAAAGTCCAATAGTACCCCAAGAATCCGGGCCCTGAAACAATGAGGGTTTGGTTCGGGCCCGGACTCGGGCCCCTGCTTTCAGAGGTCGGAGCCGACCCTGCGGAGGGCCCAAGGATTCTTAGGGTAGTACTTCGCGGACATCGTGTACCAGCACCTTCAAAGGGGTCACCTGGCTGGAAGCCCCAGCCCACTACCAAGGGAGCTCCAGACAGGACAGCCCTTGAAGGTCCAGGTATGCTATGCTTTGGACTTTGGTCAGCTCAAGACGGACGCTGTGGGATCCGCAGACGCTTTAAGGGCTTTAGAGGGCGAAACCACGCTGTGTCCTCCGGGATCCGCCCCAAATCATCCGCCGGGATCGAGAAGATCCAGGCCAAACCGGTTCGGTTCGGATCGTGTGAGACTGACTGGACCCTGCATGGACGAAGCAGAGAAGGATTATCCAGAACACCCTTCTTCTGACAATCCTGAAGGAAGGAAGGAAGGAAGGAAGGATTGCGAGTCCGAGAGACACATTTTAGACATGGTCTTTAAAATGACCCGAGTCCGTCCGGACGCCTTCGCTGCCAAAGATCGTCGAACTGGACTTCTAGATTATAGTTCCTGGATATTCCTGGTGGACCTGCAATAGTTCTGCCTATGTGTGGGGTGCCTCACAGACAAAGAGGCTGAAGCAGGTCCCAATCTATACTGTTTTTCTTTTTCAACATGAATGTCCCAGGATCTCTGCCATGGAACACGCTTGGATCGATGAATTCCATGGAAGGTGAGGCCACAAAAGATGAAGGGCAGAGCACTGAAGGCTGTGGGATACTCCTTGTCTTCTTGGATATGCCCAGCTTTTCACGGCTCCCTGTCTTGCTGACACCGACTCACCAAACGGATCCATGTCCCTGGAGTTTCGTATGGAGAGTACGGCCTACTCGGCTGTGACACTTGGGGCACCCCTATACTGTATCGCACCAACGGCACCAACGGCGCCGAACTGCTCTGTTCACCCAAACACCACGGATCTGCGGCACCGGAGTTCTGCGGCACCGGAGTTCTGCGGCACCGGAGTTCTGCGGCACCGGAGTTCTGCGGCAC